CCTCGGCGGCTCAGCCCCGCCGCCTCTGCCGCAGGCTCTGGAAGCGTAATGCAAGCAGCGCCGGCCCTTCCCCCGGCCCTCCCCATACCGCTCTCCGCGCGTCTTGACCTCTCCCTCCTTCGCAGGCCCCCTCCCCGACCCAGCCTTCCACTCTGCCTCCTGCGGGGGTCTACTCCGGAAGGCCCGGCCCTGCTTCTCTGTCTCTCTGCGCCTGTGGTGCACCCGAGTCCCCTGGCCGTGCGGGGTCCGTTTGCTGGGGGCGCAGGCACCGAGCGGAGATGCACTTAACAGGTGTGACTGTGTTCTGTTGGCATTGCCAAAAACGAGAAAACCAGGGTCAGGGCCGGGCTGGCGGAGATGAACGGCCCAGTGCCACCCGCCCGAGGCTGGGCCCAAGACCAAACCGTGGTGCTGTGTATTTAATATTCTTATTCAAAGCCAGCTGTGTCCCAGTCACCGAGAGTAAACACGAGACTTCACGCCTGCCCGCCCCAGCGTCACCCTGCGTTTGAAATAGAGCCGCGGGCCTGATCCGGTTTTTCAATCTCTTCCCCCGCCTGTGCTTTTCTTGGTTAGTTTACTGAAGGCCAAGGACAGAGATTCAAAGTTCTTCAGAATCTGTAAAATGATTCAAGGCCAGCGCAGGAGGGTGGAGAAAAGGAAGACCTTTTCTCTGGCTACACGGGTTGTCAGAATAATACCTTGGCTCAGACCGACACATCCCAGCGCTGTGTTTTTCCTCTTTGCAGAACTAGGTCATCTCATTAATGAAGAGTGAAACAGAGGACCAAGATTTTTCTTTTTCTGTCTTTCTTGAAGTGGAGAAGGTGGAGGGGGGAGGGTTCAGATATTTGGCCTCCTGGGCCACACCAGTTATCTTCAATTTTGAGTTAGGCTTAGAGTTGGAAAGAGCCTTAGAAGCCTTAGAGGTGAATTATACTAATTACCTCTCTCTTCTCTCATTTCCTCCAAAATTCATGTCTAGGCAGAAACTAGAAAACAGTTGTAATCTGTAAAGAGTTGAGATCCTTCCTGGATAAAAGGCATTCTGGAGAGTTTTTTTTTTTTTTTTTCCTGGACAATAAACACTGTAAAGGAGTTTCCATTTCTGGGGCAACCACCCCAGTCTTTTATCTTACTTGTTTCAACTTCTTATGTTGCAGTCTGTGATGTTGTCTGTGAATTAGGTAAGAGAGAGAAATGAGAATTTGCTAAGAGTAAAAATGGTTACAGTGACATCAACACTTGCACAAGGTCAAAGTACTGATTTTTAAAAAGCTTTGTGAGCATGTTTATTTGCAGGCTTTCTTCGGTAACTGTCAAAAGTGGAAGTTGTCTCTCTAGGGACAGAAGTGTCAGGTAGCAGGCTCCTCAGATCTGATGCAAAACAGACGCACTGCTAGCTGCCCAAATGCCTGAGCAAATACAGTGAAAGGAAATAATAGTGTAAACATTTTTGTGAGCATTGCTATATACAAGACACCATGTCTACATGGGAAAGTAAAGGGTTATCAGATACACTTACTTCTTAAAAGTGCATAATTGGTTGAAATGAAAGCTATATCTGATAACCTGTGTAGGGCCTACTTATAATTATTAACTATGATCAACTAGTATTAGACTATACTAGAAGACTATACTCTACCCTTGGCCTAATTTATTAGATATTAAAAGCAAGCACAGGGACTGGATGGTGCCACGCTGGTAATGCAACGCTTTGAGAGGCTGTCCCATATGGGAACGTTCTGAGTTCATGTCCCAAGACCTCCCTGAACATGCCAGGAACATAGACACCTTTGATCTGAGGCTAGTTGAGACTGGGAGTAGATCACACTGTGAAGACCCTGCTGGAATACTTGACTCTTTCTCTCTGTCTCTCTTGCTCATGGAAGACAAAAAGCAACAAATGCACTTTTTTTCCATTACTGCTAGTCAAAGGACGACACTTTATCCTAATAGCGTAAGTCTAACCATTCAAATATTCATACACTAACTTACTGGATTAACCATGAATTGTTTTCAAATAGCAAATTAAACTTTAAGGGCTCAAGTCTTCTATTTATTCTAGCCTTTCTTAAAGATGCAAGGAAAATCTTGAAAGGTCTAATTCTATCATCTAGTCTAGAGTTCAGGAAAATGATTTGGATTAAAAAAAAAATGAGAGGGGCCAGCAGGTGGTGTAGTGGTTAAGGCATTGGACCACACGTGGCCAAACCATAGTTCAAGTTCTGGATCCGAGGCCTGAAGCTCACACTGGGCACATGTGCCTATAATCCTGGGAGGAGAACAGAGAAGGGATTGTGGCATGGCTATTCCTTTTGCAGGTTGATTTCTCATCTTCTCTTTCTGCCCCTCTCTGCTTCTCTGGAGAGTATATAACAAAAAACCCAAAACTCTAAAATAAATAAATGAATAAATTAGAAATTCTCTTTCTATACTTTCAATTCCAACATTTAAAAAAATTTTTAAAGATATTTTTGCTGTAGGACATGTGTTCACTGGAGAGACAGAAAGAGATGGAGAGAGAGAAAGGGAGAAATCACCCCTCAGGGCAGGTGGCCACACCAAAATCCCTTCTCCATTCTCCTCTTGGGATTTGGAGCACACACACACACAAGTGTTGCACATGTGCGCCTGACATGAATTTCAACTTGCAGAGCCTGGAACTTGAACCATCGTCAGCCATGCGGGAGTCCAGCACCGTAACCACCGTGCCATCTGCTGGCCTCTAAAAATTTCTATTTTGTGTAATTTATGTATGGTATAAGTTAAATCGGTATAATAAGATATGCATCAAATTGATATGTGTGTATATTTATAAATACAGCATGCTAACTTTTAATTTTTTCACAGAGGGTGCGTATGCTTGCTAGCAAGAGATAGAGATAGACAGATTAGAGAGTAAGAAAGTTCCCTGCAATGGAGCATGGTCACAGCACAATCTCTTCTGTATTTTTTCCACCCTGTTGGAATTTTGGGCATGTGCACACATGCTTGGCATGTTTATTAGTTCTCTGGGCCTGGACTTAAACCACAGAGCGGATGGGGTGAGATCTGGTTCCTTTCACCAGTCTACCACAGGGCTGGCCTTATGCCTAGTTTTTGTAGGGATCATACAGTAATAAAACGTTTTGGGCCCATCGCTGTGATTACAGCACTGTCAAGTGGGTTAGGCTACTGTGATGTTATTCTTCTGAGCCTCTTTCCAAAACTGTTTCCTGTTTTTCTTTAGATGGCTGCAATAAGATATAAACAAACGGTAACGGTCGAAAATGCAGCTATTGGGCCAGCAGTGGGGTGGTGGGTAAGGCCGCTGGGTCCCAAATGTCCAACTGTGTGGTTCGCGTCCCAGACTCCGTGGCTTGAGAAACATGCTGGTGTGTGTGTGCATGTGTGCTCAGAGTCCCAAAAGGAGGGAAAATGAAGGAAAAGGAAATGTGGCATGACCATCCTGCATGTGGGGTAATTTCTCATTTTCTTCTCTCTGGCAACTTAAAAAGAGAGAGTGAAAAAAAGAAAAAGAAGGAAGAAAATGCAGCTATTATGTGTTATTCACTCCATGTTTCTTTTTTATTTTCATTGTGATCCCTTTTCAGTTATACCAGATCGAATGTGAGAGACACTAACTTACACACACACACACACACACACACACACGAGGTATGAGATAAAGGCAAGGAAATGATCCCTTCTTTAATTCTTTTTTACTTTTCTCATTTTTAAAATCAGTATCTTCTACTATTCTGAAAAGTTTGCATGCAATGATTCCAGCCTTTGTGTCTGCTTTATTTTCGAGTTGTTTTATTTTAAATACTTCAGTGCTATACTTCTGAAATGAGTCTTTTTTCTTTTTTTTTTTTTTTTTTTGGAGAGGTTTTTGCTATAGGGCATGTGCACTCGCCATACAGACAGAGAGAGATAGAGAGACAGAAAGCGAGAAATCACCCCCCGGGGGGATGGCCATGCCACAATCCTTTCTCCTCCATTCTCCTCTCGGGATCTTGGGCACACTCACACACATGCACCCGGCATGAGTTTTAAGCCACGGGGTCCGGAACACAAACTGTGGTCGACTACGCGGTAGTCCAGCGACACAGCCATTAGGCTAACTGCTGGTTCCGTCTCTTTGCTTTTAAACTTAAGAGTAGGGGGCAGATGGTGGTGCAGTGGTAACGTGCCGTGCTGTGATGTCAACCTCAGGGATGGTGGTGCAGTGGTAACGTGCCGTGCTGTAATGCCAACCTCATAAGAATGTTCTTGGTTTGTGTCCTGAGACATCCCTGAGTATACTAGCTTGCATGTGCCCACGATCAAGGTCTGGCTGAGAGTCCAGGGGAGTGGATCTCAGCATCAAGCCCTTCTTGGGGGTGCCCTTTCTCCGTCTCTCTCTCTAATGGAAGAAATAACTGAACAAACAAACCAAAATGTAACAAAAAGCTGCAGAACGGCTTTAGTGATCTGTGATGACCTCTAAAGACCTTCACATTAGAGTCTATGAATCTAAAATTGCTAAACTAACTTCG